GAAGTAGTGTGACCTCCTGTATTTGTTTCATAATTAAACAAGCAGAGTAATAAATCAAAGGAATCACGGGGAGAACAATATTTGGTTCCTCAATATCTTTAGGGGTTCCAGCAGTGACAGGTTAATGATTGGACTCGATGATCTTAGAGATCTCCTCCAACCTTGATGATTCTATGACTCTATCTTCATGTATGCTGATATAAGTGATGAGTTAATAGAAAAAGGTAAAGTAAAAGCTTTTACTGAAGGGAAAAACTATTAGGTGCAACCTTATGAACTCAGTTACTTCAAAGGTTACATGCAGTTCACAAGCACACTCAGTCCAACAGAACTCCCCTAAAACACTCAGAGACAGACCCTCCTCTGATCTGACAACTGCCCAAAAGCAGCTTACAGGGGAGTAATGAAGGTCTGGGCTACTCAGAAAGCAGCAGACAGCAGTTTATTCTGACCAAACCCCACTGCAGCTACCCATATGAACTCAGGTAACTGCACAATGGAAAACTTACAGAATTTGTTCGTTTCCTTTTCCAACAGTCAGGATTTAAGCGTTTCTGCTCTTCTGCCAAGGCCTTGGCTTCTAGTGTGTACATCCGTCTCTCCTCGTTCTTCATTTTCTTCCATCTGTCACCAAGGATCACACTTATGGCTCTGCAAGATCAATGGTTGCAGTATGGTCAGGATGGTGCTGAGAACTACCTTTTTTTTTTTTTTAATCTGAGCACTTTAAAGAAGACAAAAGCTAAATGTGGAAATAATATACAAGGAAGAAATTAACTGTATCTTAAAATTCTTGACAGTCACATTGCTGATTATCTTCTCACAGTTCTTTTAACAGCTAAGCAGCTGAGACTTGTGTGTTAGCTGGGCATGGGTCAGTGCACATTCTAACATTTCCAAGGGTGTACATTTGAGTACAGAGCAACTGGCACAAACCAGGAAGCAGGGATGCTAAAAGAACCACCACCACATGGCAACTCACACTTGGTTTGCTCCACTTTCATACATATAACAGATTTGCTGAAAATATGTTCTCTAATAATTAGGGCAATGAACTGAACATGACCTCAGCTGGACAAATATTTGATTAAGTGCAATCTCCCATGTCTGTTTAATCAATGTGTGTAGCTTCCTCCACCTTTAATCCACACTGGGCAGAACATACTGGGAAGTTCCTGTGCAAAAGGAACCATTTGTTCCAACACATCTATCACCACTTCCAGAAGCTGAATTAATTCCTTTCCTACTCCATCTAAACCCTAGGTGTTCTGACATTTCCCCCTCTCATCATGCCATACTGCTCACCTGCACTCCCAAATGTTAGATCAATATCCTCTTAAAGCTTTTACTGGGCCGTTTAGCTGAACGAAAATCTCTGAACAACAGCTCTTTTAGCAATGACAATCACAAGCTACTGAGCAGTTTGTACACTTGGCTTTGGATTACAGCAATGACAGTCCTGTGACCAGCTCTAAAAAAGAGGTGTACACAACCAAGTCCTTTGCTTTCTCCTGTTAACAAGTTCCTTCCTGGCAGCAATGCTATTTGTAGATTTTATAAGTGAATCCAGACAAGAAGAGTGTCATCAGCCATTCCCACAGCATGGCACATACAGCAGTTCTGGAGGCTTTTCTGCACCACAGCAGAACCATTCCCACAGCATGGCACATACAGCAATTCTGGAGGCTTTTCTGCACTGGGGTTGCCCTTAAGCCTGTGCTGTCACATGCTCTGGTGACTCCTAAGTTCTTAATCAACTCCTTAGCTCCTCAAGCTGCACTAGATCCCACTGACATCAAACCTATTTGCACAGCCTGTCTCTGTGGCAATGGATTTGGTGTTCTACCCTTTGGCCTATCACCACAAGCAAACACACTGCAGTTTAATTAGCAGATTTTTTATGTTTTTACAGTGTTCAGAGGGAAATCAACAGAAACCTGTCTGCTTTGGGACAGCAGTTTGTACTGGGTCACTCACACTCCCAGGAAAGGACGTGGTGACCCAGACAGAACAGGTTTGCTGAAAAAGCCATTGCCTTTCCAAAAGAAATGCATTATGAAATCTTTGTATTTCCAATCAAAAATAGGATTTTCCTATTTTAGGAACCATCTTTAGAAGGTTCACTACTCAAATTATTCAAGGTCTGCTGACACACAACCAAGTCCCACTGTAGTTACAGTGAGAATACCTAGAAAACAAACCAGTGCAGCCCTGACACCAATTTCTCAGTCTTACAGCCCACAGCAGTTTTAAGTATCATGTGACTGCTGACTTGTACTTTCAGTGTTTACAGCTTCTCTCTTGCTGCCATGGCTTGAGCTGCTTTGTGTCAGAACAGACTGTTTAACTCAGAGTAACTAAAGTTCTGCGTTAGAAAAATAAAGTAACTGTAGCAAACCAGAGCTCCAGTGTACAGAAGTGGCTACTAGGATATAAGATCTACTCAGTCATCTGGAAATGACACAAACTTACATTTAAAAACTGTGAGAGATGCTTCTGAACAGCTAAATTAATACATGCCTCAGCAACACTTGAGCAACAGTAGCTGAATGTCTGTAACATCAACTATCACCAACTCTATTGCTGCTGCACTGGATTTTGTGGATGTCACAGAACTGCACCAAATGCACTGAAGAGGACAGTGAGCAGTGCATTCTGCAGCTTACCTGTAGCTTTGTCATCACCTTCCTTCAAGGTAAACCTGCTCACTGAAATCCTCAGCTCGTTTTCACATCCATGCAGCTGCAGCTCCACTTCACTGCACCCGTTCGAAATCAGCGTTTTCAATTACAGTTGTAACCACCATAAACCTTCCCAGGTGACAGTTCTGCTCACTTCTGACTGACAGCTGCCACGAGTGTAAGGCAGCAGATCTGCCTCACTGCCCTCACCACAAACATTACAGAGCAGCACTGCCAGGACAAGACTGGCTGGGATTTAAGGACGAGCTGCTTGTGTGGCAGGATTTCATTTCACACCATCAGTTAGTCTCCTTATTAGAACACTCTGAAATAGCCAAAACCCTCTCAAAGCCCTGACCACTTTCATTTTGTACCAGATTCAGTACGAGAATTTTTATGCCACAAGACAATTCTTGCAGGAACAGTTTTCATAACATTATATACACTAACAAAATCTGATTATGAGATCAGGGCCTGTTTGTGTGTTTTAGTGTCTATTTACATCAGCACAAAATATTACTTAAAACATATATAATGGAAATCTTTGTAAGAAGTGTTTATGCATATAAATAAGAACAAACTAACCAAGAACCTTCCCCCAAACACAGTCATACAGCTCCTCCTGCAAGTTTCAGCAGATGCTGAATGCCTTTAGGACAAGCAAGATTTGGCAACGTACTGTCTGGATTAAGATCGTACAGATATCCTTGCAATCAGTACTCCATTATTCAATAAGATACACAGACTGGAAATAAATGCTTGTAACCTCATGAACAATTTGCAGTATCATGTCAGGACTTCCTTAGAAGAACCAGAAATTCCCTGGTTTCCATTCCAGCACGCGAGCAGAGCTCCTCACTCAGCCACAGAGGCTGCTGTGATTTGTGACTCTGCTGCTGCACATACTCACATCTGTCAGTTGCTTTACCCAAATGCTTCCTCAGAAGGTTAAGTTTGCAAAAAGTGGCTTTTGCCAAATTCACTGAGTACTGTAAATATTTTTAGTCCACCCATAAATTACCTTTGTGTTAGTTTTCAAAACTTGTTCTTGAAACAATACACACACGTTTTAGTTCGAATGCAAAATTTAGGCTACTTAAAACTAAAGGTGGGACACAGATATTCTGCCAGCTCACCAGTAACAGCAAAACTACAGTTCTCCACCATTACCTGTTGTCTTTCCCTGGATACATCTGAGTGTATTCAACTCTGTATTTTTTGGCAAAAAGCATGAAGGCATTCATTGGTCTTTTGCACTTGTTTGGAGAAGTGGCACTCACAGTACTTGCAGTCCCTGAGCTGTGGCTTTTGCCAGCTTTGCTGTACAAAGGGTTGGAGGAGAGATGTGAGGGTGCAGTAGAGGCACAGTTCTTGCTGCTGCAGTCTGTTCTCTCGGTGTCTGCGGCGCTGGGCCCCGCGCAGGACAGCGACGCGCGGCGCTGGCGAGCCATGCTGCTCAGCACGTACACTGCCGACGAGTCCAGCGGCGTGAAGTCATAACTGCAAGGCAAGGACACGGGGTAAAGCCACCACGGCCTTCTCAGCTGAACCCCTCAACTCTGCTCACTCTTCAGCTCTACTGCACTGCTACTGCTCTGCTCTCTTTGGCGTGACGTGATTTGTGCTTGATGGAGATGTCAGTGGCAGAATGAAAAACCACACCAGGACTCTGGCAGATCAATTAGTATGTTCTCCAGTGTGATGGCAGAGTCCAACTCTGCAAGGTCTGCTGTGTACTTTCAGCTCTATATCCATTAACTGCCTTCAAACCTCACTCTCTTTTGAACACACCCCTTCCTTTCTGCTCCTGTCCTTACCATCAATCAAACCTGGCCACTGAGTGACAGGCACTGAAAGGGACAACTGATGCAGAAAGAATGAGCACTGAGTTCACTTCCAAATATGTATTAAGGACGAATATGACACCACTGGAGTAAATAAATTATATTACATACACTACTGTACAAACAACTTCTCTAGGCAGTTAAATACACATTTTTACACACACCTTGCACTGAGCCTAACAAACTGCTCCGAGCCCGTGCTGAGCTGTGGGACACAGGGCTGAGCACCTCCTGCCCTCTAGTGACAAACCCGCGGGATTCTCCGCATTCCCAGCTATTTCAGCAGCTGTTTCCACACAATTTACCATCTCCAAATAAGAGAAGTTCTTACGATTTTTAGCTGACCACCAACCCAGGTCAGTGTGGGAACCACAGGCTATGCTGCCTTCTCCACCACTAAGTCACCTCCACGAAACAAACACAGAATGTATATCCTCTAAGGCTCTGCTCACCCTCTGCTCAATGTGGCTATAGCTGCATAATTTATGACCAAAATAAGGGCCTTGAAGAGCTTTTTTCTGAACACAAAACTATTAGCAAGGAAATGCTGCACGTGGCAGTGCAGTCCCCATCTGCTGGGGAGCTCCTTCTGTGAGACAGAACCACAAGGAACAGTGGAGCTGGAGGATTGCCTCCAAAATCCCTTAGAAAAGCACAAAGCAGGGACGAAGGGATAATGCTGACAACCCTCAAGGCAAGGTCACACTCAGTGTAGCAAGGAATGACCTATCTGTTCCACAAACAGTCCAGCACTCTTGCTATTCTTAATCTCCTTCCCATAACACAGCAACAGCATTCTGTTTTCTAGTTCTTCTGTCCTGTTAACCACAGCTGCTGCTGCTGCTGCACTCTCCTATCTCAGTCACTTACTCCCTTCTGCCCAGAAAGAAAGACAAGGAATTTGAAATGTCCAGGCAGTATTCAGCCAGGCTTCAGGGTTAATAAGGAGCCAGAAGTCCAATTTCTTCAGAGATATGTTCCTATAATGACTCTAACAACTCTCCATGTATGCAGTTCAGAACAGAAGTTAATAAGGAGACAAAACCCCAAACAGCAAGTGAGAGAGCCAAGCAATTTGAACTTCCTGTCTATGCCAGGCTGAAATCACACAAGAGCTCCTAAAGCCTAAACTGCAAACAGCATTTTAAATTCTATTTTTCTATTGTAAAAAACCAAAACACAACTGGACTGAAAACAGATGCTAGAAAGGAGGTAACATCATAGGAGAAGATGGATTCTACTAAACCTCAAAATCTTAAAACAGTATGGAAAAATCTTTATTATTTCCTTAGAATCTTAAAGGGATTTCTGTTGGACAGGACCTCTGAGGGTTATCTGGTTGTACTTCTTGCTCAGGCAAACAGCAAAGCTAACCAAACTTTGAAGGAAGGTAAGTTTGATGTATTGGAAAATTATCCCCCAAACCAGAACACATAGAAGTAAGACCTAATGACCAAAGCACTGCATTCTGAAGCCACAGCACATGCATCTACCACTAAAAAACTCAACAGGGAATCCAGATGATGCACAGCTGCATGTCAAGCACGAGTAACAGCTGTAACTACTGTGGGAAAACTGTACTTGGTTTTTCAAACATAATCCACTTTACCTGAAGAATTTATATAGATAATATACATATGTTACTGCTTTAACTAACCTGGCTTAAATTATCATGAAAAGAGGCTGAGAAGGTATTTCACTCCAAGGTACTACTTTGCAGTTTAGCAGAGCACAGAATTACACAGCTTTCCTAGTATTCAGTACTCATTTTTCCCTATCATTTATCTTGTATTACCAAACTATTGCCTCTTTGCCCTACACAAAGCTTCAAACTCTTCTTTAAGGTGCCTACTCATTAAATACAAGAACCACTGAGGCCACTTTATCCAAAAATTACCTTTTAAATGTATCAAAAACACCTGAATCATCAAAGTTAATGGCATCAGGGTGTCCAGGAGGTAGACACAGATCTCCAAGATGCATTTCACAGCATGGAATGCCATGCTGTACCACAGTCAAGCTTGGATAAAAAGATGACCAACCTGAAGTGGTAAAGAGTCAAATTAGACAAACGGCCAGACAATCTCTCCAGTTCTTCACTGGAGCAATCCTGTATCTCTAAATTACATCATTCTATAAAAATGTTCTGATGCAGTTTCTTTCACCCAGAAGAAAAACACTTATTTAGGGAATTCTTACTGCAAATAGTTTATTTTTATCTCAAATAAAATCTCATTCTAGCTAAAAAGTAATCAAAACTTGGAAACTTTTACCATCAGAAGTTCCATGTTTAGCAAGTGAAAAAAGCCTCCCTTATTGGCAGTTTCCCTTTCTCCCACCCAATTTTTCCTGCTTTCCTGAGCTCCATTTATATACTTGATCAAACCCTTCCTTAGGAGTTATGCAATCTTCCTTTATGGCTTTATGGCTTTACAGTTTTGTTCGTTCCACTTCTGCATTTCTTTACAAAGACAGTAAATTCTTTCTGCACCACCACTTTCACCAATTCCTTGAGCAACATGGGATGCCAATAAAACCTGCAATCACTTTCTAAGAACGTTTCAACATACAGCCAAGTGTACTTGTAGTATTTTGTACCTTTATTTTTAACATAAAAGGGATGATCGAGTCTGCATTCCACGGTGAGCAAACCATCCTCCACTGTACCAGGATCAAAAGTCAGCTTCAGCACTGACTCACCAAAGGAAATGCTTTCTTCATGAGAAATCAACTTTAAGCCATTGGAACCATAATCCTGTGAACACACATAGAGCTCAAAAATGTTTTCCTCAAGAAAAGCACATACTGTGCATGCTACAGGTGTACATTCATCACTGTATGTTGTAGGAAAACATACCAACATTCTGAGCTGGAATTTCTATCTGGCTAGAAATTAATGAAGATGATGTAACATTCAAAACACACCTCTATGAATTCAGTTCAATTCTTTACAGTCAGAGAATCCAACAGTACAGTGATCAGCTCTAGACAACTTGAATGTAAACCTGTCTTCCTGAGACAGTAATTAAAGGCACAGAGATAATGTGAGAGACTAAATATTTAATACAGGTATTGAAATGAATTTATTAGAACTCACAGCTACCTTGTAAGGACTCACGGAGAGATTTTCCTCTTTCCCACAGCCTTCAGATCTTGCAAAATCCTCAACATCCTGCCACTCTTTATTGCGTCCTTTGTGAAAGCACAAACGAGAGCCTGGCAGAATTTTTTCCAAGGGGGAAAAAGGTTAGTGTTAGGTGAAAAAGTCTGTGTCCCAGAAAAAAATAACAAGACAAAATCAAACAAATACTTCTTTTATGACAGGTGTTATTTTACCTTTTAGAAAACAATGCCAAACAGTTGAGGGCCAGGAATGGCACCATCCCAAATCGTCATCGTCTGAAAGGGATGACATGCAGAAAATGCCAGACTCTGACTCGCTGTTCGCCTACAAAAGGAAGGAAAACAGTGCTGATATTCTGCCACAGGAGATTTCAGGGCTGATCTTACATGTCTGAAGACACATTTTCTAATTTGCACCCCTGGCACCATTTTGCCTTAAACAGGAATGTAGCAGGAAGACAAAGATTCAAGGAATCAGCAGATGTGAATGGAGTGTTTTCATCTCCTTTTCTGAGATGCATCCTGAAGTTTCTGAGTTTCATTCTCCACGATTCATTTCAAACCTGTGGATTATCTTATATAAGCATTTTACAAGCTATCATTCCTTGGTCATCCCCAGTCTCACTCAAAAACCACATTACTACATGGTCCAGTTGCTGGAAAGTTGTGCTAGATAAATCACTGGGAAAATCACTGGCCAAGTCTGTGCTAGGTAAATCACTGGGAAAAATTCACTGTCGTTAACAGACAAGTTCCAGATACAGATTAGTACCTGGAAAAGGGTAACACAGGACTGACAGGTTTTGTGCATCCAAAAGGAGAGGGATCTGTATTTCCTTCTGAGGCAGCAAACAGGTTAATACAACCTTTTTAAGGTTGCTGTAGAAGGAACTACAACAGAAGCAGAACTTTCTCAGAATGGGATCTCTCCACAACAAACAGGAACTCTGTGAAGCAGCACTACAAGGCTACTGTGTGGTAAAGAGAAAATAAAATCTAGCTCAAATAGAAATGGGATTAATACTAAAGAGATTATTTCTTTTTGAACTAGTTTCCCTTTTCAAAAACCTTCAGCCTTTGCTCATGCATCTTCCTTTATTTCAGAACTGTTTGAGAACTCACCCTTTCATGTCTCACTGATGTTTCGTCCAAATCAGCCTTGGAGAAGTTAGGATCACTGTTTGAGGATCCTGGTGGAGGACGTGCATAGGAATGTAAACTTTTGCTTGTAGCTATTATGTGAACAGGAGATGATCTACAACAGAAATAGGTATTTTACAACACCTCAGATTCTAAGACAAAACAAGACTTGGCTAAAAACGCCTTTATTGCAAATGTTTCTGTTTGCATGGGCTGAACACCAAATAAACCTCCCACACACCAATATTCAAATGGGATGATTACAGGGTGCAAGCTTAGGCAAAGAGAGTATTTAGCATAACTTCTACACAGGACCCAAAGGACAGCAGTACTTCCACAGCAGCATCTCCTTACCACAACACTGAAGTTTTTACAGATACCTTGGAGTGAAAACCTCATTCTTAGAGGACACAAAGACATCTGCTCTGTCCTAATAATCAACTCTCAAATGCATTACTATTAACAGTACTGCATTTAATTTTCGGATTATAAACCAGAGACCAAAGCTGTACAAGAAGTGAAGCCCAGAAATTTGCAAGATGCTGCTGCTCAGAGCCTTATGGAATTTACAGATGACAAACCTGGAACAGCTGTCATTAAAACATACATTGCACTACATTTTCAAATAGCTCTTTACAAAAACCCCCTCAACTCAGTGCACCAGAGAGTATTAAGGTAACAAATCCATCTTCATTTTTCATCTGCTGCTTCCATGAGGTAAAAGTGCCTAATTTCTGAGCCTGCTGTGGTTAGGCAATGTCTCCATACCACCCTACCTCAGCAGCTTTTGCACCAGGCTCTGAGACGAGTCCTGTGCGCACTCTGACAGAACCATAAAGCTACTAAACAGAAAGATCAAAAATAGGGCTCCAGTTCAAAGTCAGAGGGTGTGAAGAGTGAAGGAAAGGTTTCTGGAGACAGAACATTACAAATCTCATTAGTTCAAAACTGAAACGGATGTCAGTACCTGTTATAAAAAGCACATTGCATCAAAGGACTCTGAGGACTCGTGGCTATGTTTGCTAATTCTGTCAACCAGTTCACCCCATTCTCACAAGAATAAGCATTTTCTGGATTGCTGTTTGAGGTATGTTGGCTCCATGAAGGCCTTGAACATTCCTGATGTGAAACATCAGCACCAAGCTGGAAAAGTGCAGGTGGGGTAGAATCTGTCTGCACAGCCTGTAACTCAGGAAGGTCATCTGCAAAGGCACAGATTACCATCATTAGATCCAACTCCACTTGACACCCAATCTTGCAAATTAAAACCAAAAAAAAAGGAACCACAATAAAGGAACTGTATTTTCTCATATCACAACTACCAACATTTCACAAGTCTATTCATAATGCTGACAAAATGGCCACAGAACAGTGATACCTCTAGTCTGTTACGCATTCACACAAGAAATTTTTTTTTAAATTAAGTAACTAGGTAAAAATGTAGTTCTGGTTTTAAAGTTTTTACTAGATTGACCAGTTTACACAGAGCAGAATTATGCAAAGGCAGCAACATGCTTCACTAAAATGGTTTAACATTCAACATAAGGCAACTAAATTAATCACTCCTAGCAGGTGTGACACTAAAAATTATCAACATCAGAGGGTGTTCAAGGTAAAAGTTTTCCACATTTCCAGCAGGGAACTGGAATTAAGTAACTCCGAAGTCACTGGAAGAACTGAAATCAAATGTTCCTCTAGCCCAGAATCTTTATCTGCAGCAGATCTAAAGGAACATAATTTCCCTTTAGGAGGAGCTCTTGAGCTTTCTGTTTGCTATTCTTGTGCCAAAAGAACTCTCCTCTGGGGATTAAGAGCAGAAATTTGTAGCTCTGCGCTCAAGAACACACTTGAGTCAACAGGCCAGTGTGTCAGAACTGGAAATGGGTTAAAGGGAAAAGTGACTGCAAAATAAGCCCTTCAGATGTCACAATTCCCTGTATTATTCCCTGCCCTACTTAAGTTAAAAATCAGCAATCCCATTCAGTCAGCTCCCAGTAATTTCAGTACAGGGAAACTACAGCAAACTTCACAATTTGGTTTCTTCCGAAAACGTCATGTAATTTACCAAGTTCCATGTGCTCATCACAGGATGCATATCCAGGAGAAGAGGGCAGGTTTTCATTACACTTCAGCAACTCCAGTGACTCATTCATCCCTGAAGTTCTCTTGTCCACTACCAGGAGGAGTTTCTGAACTGCATTAGGCATTTGATTTGTCTTCACTTCCCACACCATGTTAGGATGCTCCAAAGTATCTGACTTTAAAGAGATGGAGGTTAAAAATTTGTGTATGTTTTAAGTTGCATCTCATGCACTACTTCATTCCCAGAACTGCACAGGCTGTCGAGTATCAGAGCATAATTTTGGGATGTCATAATTTAGGATGATCTCGTACAACCTCTGCAGAAAGCAGAGCTAACTCTGAGGTCATGAGGCTGCCTGGGGCCCTGGACACTTAGGTTTCTAGGACCCTGAAGGATGGAGATTTCCCTGGCACTTTCCAGGAACCCGTTCCAGTGACCACTCTTGTTCCTCACACACATTTGACCTTCCCTTGACAGAGTCTGTGCTCATTGCCTCCCAGAGTCTGGGGTTATCTCCTCAACCTGCACTCGAGCCAAGGTAAACAACATTCCCTTGGTGCCTAAGCCCTGTATCCCATCACAGAAGGCAATCAGATGGGTCAGACAAGATTTGCCTTTGGCTAATCTGTCCTGGCTGTTCCCAGAGAACTTCTTGCCTTATAAGAGGCTGCACATAGCAGCCAGGAGGATCTGCCCCACAATCTTCCTGAAGGCTCAGGTTAAGCTGACCAGCCTGGAGTTTCCTGAAATCCTCCTCCGAGAAGCCAGCTGGGATATTTTCTTTTCCCCAGTTACTGGAAGTCCTCTTGCCACCAAATCCACTGCTTTCTGGAGACCATCCTCACCATGTGTCCCTGCCCACAGCACTGGAATGAGATGATCTCTAAGGTTCCTTCGAACCCAGAGCACTCTGTGCCTGCTCCCCTGGAGGCAGTCTGTGGTGCAAGGCTGGCTCACAGACCTGGCCTGGCCCCACTTGCTCCTCTTCTGCTGTATTCAAACAAGCATCTCGCCCAGTCAGCTACGCCCAGAGACTCCAGGAACCTGGAAACAGCCTTGCAAGTCAAGATCAAAGCAAAAATGTCCTCCTTGACCTTGTGACATCAGGTCTCCTATGCTAAGCATCAGGACCACATTTTCCCCAGCTGCCCTTGCACCACTGGTGTCTCTACAGAAGCTTTTTGCACTGCCCTTCACATCTCTTGCTGTCTCACCTCTAGGTACAGACTCAAACATACTGAACAGCCAACATCCTTAACTGTGTTGCAAAGAAAACAAGTCTCTGCTGATAGATTTCACAGCAGTTTCACTTCCCCAAACATCAGGACTGCAAAATTTATACCAAAAGCAGTATTTTAAACCATCTTCAGCAGAGAACTGTGTGCTTCTTCCACATAACCACTGCCTCTAAAAGCTGGCAAACAAGGTTATCCAATCTTTAGTAATTTGGTTATCTACTGTTTTTTCCAGATGATGATGAATTAAAGCTACAATAACACGATTACTTTGTACCTTAATGAAGTGTCACTGAAAAAGTAATCAATCTCTCACGGAAGAGCAGAAAACACAGCTCAGTCAGAAAGAAAACCTGAGAAGGCTAACACATGGATGGCCACTAAGTGAGCTGTGTTAGAGAAAAACAAACAGTAGCTAAAAACAGACTAATATTTTCCTATCGTAAGAAGGGGACTCTGGAGAACATCTTGTCCAACCTCCCCTGCTAAAGCAGGTTAACCTACAGCAGGTTGCATGGGATTGTGTCCAGAAGGATTTTGACTGGAAAATTTCTAACCCTCTCATCTCCTAATCTTCCAAACACATGCAAAGCTTAAATAAATGTGCATACCAAACATACAGAGATGTTTGGTCCTATTCAAATGGCACTACTACAAAGCTATATCAATTTATTCTGATTTTAAGGAGTTGGAGAAGAAAGGCCAGAAAAATTAGAATACACAATCAGGTAAACTACCAGAGATATGTATCTTACCTCTAAAGAAGCAACTTTAATGCAAATCCTTCTCCTGTCCCCTCCTCTTGAGGGACAATAAAATGACAGCAGAAAACTCAGTCATTTCTGAACAGAAAAATCAGACCTCTACAGCACAGGTCAGGACCTTGATGATTATCTGCAACTAATCAACTCTGAAAAGCCACTCCTTGTTTTTCTGGCTTGTCTACGTCCTTATTTTCCCCCCTTCCAACTTGTTTTTTTGCTCTATTTTTCCCCTCTTCCTTTCCCATTTTCCTGCCAAAATGAACAGGCTAACTTATTTTGGGAATGTTACCTTCCCCTTCCTTCCTGCCAGGTGCCAAGATGTGAAAGTACCTGCCCTGGTATCCCAAGACATTAGAGGTCAGAGACAAGGTGGAGATACAACACATTAGTTGGACAAGAAAGTTACTTCTGTGAGAAATTAATTGTTCCTCCAAGACACAGAAATTCCTCTAAATCAATGCTACCCGTGTACAAAAGCCAAAAAAAATCCTCTAGCAAATGAATGACAAAGAAAAAAACACAAAAAAAGTGCCAAGCTTCACTTTTAGTTTTTTTAATTCCACTTGATTAAAGCCTGATTTGGCCATCACGTGCTTCTCCTGTCCTCAGCCTCCCAGTGCTTTGGAACACGGAGGAGAAAGGCCATTAAGCAGCTTGTAACGATTTTCTACAATTCAACTTCAACACTTGTTGCATCAGATGTTTTCTAGAAGCAACTTGCACAGGGCTGTAATTACTGCTGCGCTGCTGCAGAGGTTAAACCAAATCAGTCGTTATTTTGTGCTTTAAAATAACTCAATTTGTCACGCTAAAGCAAGAGGCAAGACTGACAAAGAGCTTATTAATTGAACCATGTCTGTTTTTGAGGGGCAAAACCGGATTTGGGAGGAAAGTAAACAGAATGTGGCTGAGAAGGGGCTCAGCAGAAACTGCAGC